GGCGCCCTAAAAGGCAAACTTTAGTGTCTTCTAGGGCTGTTATAGTGGTTATTGTTTTTAAAATACTGTATGTGTATATATAGGTTAATCGTTTTGTACAGGGCATGATGTCACATTATGTCATGGGTGGAGCACATGGTTTTGAGTGTGTAGAAATCTAGGTAGATGTTCCACCACTTCACAAGTCCCCAGTTGCTTAAAATCTCTATTTGCCACTAGCTATTGACAATGGAAAATGTATCACTGGCTAACAGACGCTCACAACGAGTGAGTGTGCCATGGACTGTCCACGCTTGCAGGGGTGATTAACTTTTAAGTACTGGCTAGTGGCATAGGACTTGCTAGCCACTACTGTTTGACTGCTCATGTTATTTAAATATATGTTTTATGTAAATCTGAATATACTTGAACAGGAACAAAACCACAGTACTCAATGTCCTACTGACATCTTAAGGTTGCATACGATGTGCTTGTGCTCATATAATTTCTTCTCATAATTTATTTAAAAGGTATTGTTAGCACTCAGTTATATTTCACGTAAACCAACAAACATCTTATTTGTATAACATGACGAGAAAATGTTTTGCAATGCAAGCATTTCACTTTCCACTCCATTTGTTAACAGATTTTGCAACATCTTATTAAAAAAATAATCTGAATGCTTAAGGGTAACTGAAAGCTTTTTTTTTGTGGCAGCTGAGAGTTCTATTAAAATTGAAACATTTTCATCTGTGCTGACCTTTCTGTTATTTAAATGTTCAAACTGTGGTTTACAGTCGATGAATGGTTGAGAAACTCTGCATGTCTTTATCTGCCAAGGACCAATCCATTTAAAATGAGCAAATGTTTTCTATTTGAACTGAAAGAACACTAAACTGCTTTAAAAAAAACAAAAAAAACCCGGTATATTTATAAGATGCCATTTTCAGAAAATATTAATTTATTATTGAGTTACTTCCAGAGAATCCAAGAAAATCTTTTCTGCTTTTGAGTTTTGCTTACAATCTGCCCATTTTAGCCCCCAATATTTATTCTAGGGACATTATCCAAGGTTCAAAGTTCCACCTGGCACCACTAAACTAGCCCCACCACATTCCATTTCGCAAAAGATGTAAATTCTGGCGAAGATGTAGAGGAGGAACTGGATTTTTAAAACCTTGTGCAGGACTTTAATAACCTATACGCTTGTTTGAGCAGGGCCCTCAATACTGTCTGTTCCTGTGCACCCAGCTCGTCTTGTTGCATTTACTTGTCTGTTAGTCCACCTATTGTACAGTGCTATGGAATTATTTGGCGCTTTATAAATAATAATAATAATAATTTGATTACTGAACATTCCCGCCAGGTGTGTAACAAAGTGCCCCTAACGGAGCCACATCTCTAACACTTATCTGTTGTTGTGCTTTACATGTGAGTCAGCCGTATGGGCACTAGGTACCATCTGGACACAATCTTCCTGATTAGTTCTAGGTGAGAGATACAGTGTGTGTTCTTTTTAAGGATTTTGAATGCCGAGGCCCATTTCTCCTGGGAAATAGAATGGCCTACATTCTTTAGTGTAATTTGGTAGTGGGTTGATTGTGTCAGTTGTTAGGATGTCATACCATACAGAGATCAGTTTATTTTAGGGTAACAGGCTAGCACACTTTTTTTTCAATAAGGGACATACTTGTATTCAGGGCTGTGGAAGATTGCACCTGTTTGAAGCTGTGTAGTGTGGATTGTAACTGGAAGTATGATAGGAACATGGCAGAAAGTATGTCATGATCAGATTTCAGCTGTGGAAATGGGGTGAGACGGTTTCCTGTCCATATCTGGTGCAGACTCGTTAATCTCGTGCCCTCCCACGCCCTGTTGTCAAATGTGAGAATCAGATGCTTAAAACTGCGTATGGGGTATCTAGGGATCTCAGAAACCATGTTTAGAATTTATCTTTATGTTTGTCCCATGAGCATAGCCATAGTGATAGGTAGCATGTATGATGTGAATGATCTGGATGCTCTTGGCAGCTAAAGTTGGCAGCTAAAGTAGCAAGTGTATTCCTTCCTCGATCGTTCAGTGTGATTCAATATGGACCCATTGGGGGGCATCCAGTTTGTCGTAGGAGCATATTGCTTGCCCTATCATTGCGGCGTGATAGTACAACTGTAGATCTTCCTCATCGCAGTGCAGTTGGGGATATGGGATCTTTGTTTACCTGTGATGAATCTGTGGAGGGCGATTGTGATGGGAAGGGAACGAAACAAAAATTGCAGTTTTGCAAGCAGCATCAATTTGTAGCGGCAATGCGACCCATCTAGGACATAAATTTTACCTTCCACCCATTAATGGTGGAACGAAGTTTCCTGGCCACTTTAACATAATTTGCCCTGAAAAGGTTATAAAGATTTGCTTTAATCCCCAAGTAAACCAGGAAGTCCTCCTTCTGGTCAAATGGGAATTTTTGTTTTAGAGCCGGTATGGTCTCCATTTGCAAATATATTGGCATTTATTATTCTACATTCTTAAACCAGAAACCTAGATGGTAGAGTTTCTGTGGCCATCTTGCATGTTCACGCTGTAACCTTCATCCTAAATAACAGCATCCTTGTTATATCTTTGTTTGTTCTTTATTTATAAATAGTATCTCTTTGAGGTCTGAATTACTATGAATTTTCTTACGCCTCCCTGCTGGTTTCCATCATCGGAGTCTTTTTTACATCTCCAGCTATAGGAAGCATTCTAAGGAAATACAAGTCTCTGAAATAATTTTCTTATTTAAAGTTCTGGTATGGTTTGCTATTTGTAGAATGAACATGGCATTTTAGATAATATCTTTCTCCAGATCAAGGCTCCCTACCATCTGCTAAGCATGGCGTGACATAATTGATGAATTGAGTTTCTAAGCTGCCAAACTCTTGCTCATCTTAGTAACTGAAAGTTTTACAAAACAAAATATATTGTACAGAGAAAGTAAAGTATTTTTGTAATCTAATCTAGTAAATTTGCACTAATTTAATTTGTCTCAAATTATTTCTGTTAGGAAATTCACTCAATTTCCTTTTGAATTCATTGCATATTCTATTGATCAAATTGAAACCACATTGATTTGAAAGAGTTTTAGATATCTGATGTGCTTGAAAATAGCTCCAGGCAAAAACAAGAGGAATGCTGCCGAAAAGGAAAATTCTTTCCGGTATTAGAAAACAAATAAATAAATAAAAGTAAAAAGTAGGAGTGATAGTGTAGCAGCGGTGGCGTGGGGCAAGGGTGGTTGTTATGGTAGTTAGAGCTTAGAGCAGCCAAACACATTCACCTGTCATTTGGATCTCCATGAATTGTAGGCACACACACTTAGAAATTAAACTTTACTGTTAACCATGTTCCAACTAAAGTAATTTTAAAAGGGAGATTTTCAATTTAAAAAGACACGTATATTTAAAAATGCTTTCTATTAATTTTGCTTTTCTAACTCAGTTTGTTGTCTTTATATTGTTTCAGGCACATGTGACAATGAAAGCTAATTGAGATTTAGATATTGAGGCATTCTCTAATCTATGCTTACTAAGGCTGGTATGGAGGGATGCCAGTTAAAGGGGCACTGAAGTGGTTATGTTGCTAGGATTGCCACAGAGTTCCTTCAATGCAAGAAGTCAAATCATTTTAGAACAGTTGGGGTGCAAAGAGATTAACCAGGTTGTAAACGCACACCTCCAGGATATCAGTCTAGAACTGTAGTTTAAACGCACACTAACACCATAATTCACTAAAGTGAGAATTCAAGTTGAATTCAAGATAAATTTCAAGTTCAAAATAGCCATACTGGAAAAAGAATCTCTAAGCTATGAAAGTTCAGCTACTCTGGCCTTACATTTAAAATTCACCTTGAATTCTTACTTTAGTAAATAACTATGTCATAGTTTTGAGTTTTAACCTATTAGTATATTCCTCTTCTGGTTCTTTTCACTGCTCTTCTCCCCTACCATTCCTCCTCTGCCTCCCAGTCTCATTCCATTCATTATGTGCCAACTGATCTCAAGCACCGCAGGTCTCTTTTCTCACGTCCGCAAACTATAACAACAGAGAAAGATGCAAATCCCAATTTTATACACAAGAGGTTATTCTCTGCACAGTAAGTTGTGATTTGAACACAAATTTGCAAAATTTAGAATTAGAAAACAAATAGCTATTACCTATGCCTGAATGTAAGATTTATTCAACTTAGCTACAAGTTCTGAATTCTTGTTCCCAAGTAACTCTAAAACACTGTCTAGTGTATAGATCCATGGTCATATTTAATGAATAGATTCATCATGTTTTATTTAATTCTATAATGCTTTAATGTGGAATGTTTTGTATTATTTAATAACACATGAAAGCAATGAACTACTTTATAATAGGCATGTGTGCAGAAACTGATGTAAATACCAAAACATAATAACTGATATAAAATTAAATATTTAACTATGCCTTTACTAAAGCATAAAGTCAAAGATGCACAATTTATTCTGTGTATATTGAGGTTTTAATTAGTAAAATGAGTTGCATGTGTGACGAATGAACTTGTTTTAACAATGCTTAAATACTCAAAAAATTTTAATGTCTTACTAAGTCTTATAAATGTGTACATGAAGACATTTAAAAAGAAAAAAAGAAAACTTAAATGGGTGCTTAGTTGCGTTTTGCTTCTATAATATATTATAATAAACTGTAATAAACCATGTTAGAGAGGAATGTTAAAAAGAATGAAGAGTTTGTCTCTTTGGCTCATCTGTGTTCTGTTCGGTCTTTTAAGACAATATGTTTGTAACTTTTATAAATAATTACAACAAATAATCCAGAGAGACATTTGAGAAGGAAAAACAGATAAGTGTGCTAATTATGTGAGGTAGAATGGTACTTTAATAAAATAAACAATTAATTTACTGAAAATAATCAATATGGTTGGTTTATTATTTGTTCTATGATGAAAAAAACAAAACTTAAAATAAGTACTGGATAAATTAGTTTTAATTTTAAACGTTTATTAATACTGTCACAAATGGGGGCATGTACACAAAAGATTACACAAATATTTGAAAAAAAAAGGTAAATCAAAATGACAATATCAAAGAAACATGCAAACAAATCAAGACAAAACTCCATAGCAAAACAGTATCTGGAATGTAAACCAGATGGACAAAATGTAAGCAATGGAAATTCCAGTCCCGTGTGACACAAACATTTCTAAATAGCTCTATTAAGAGAGTTTTTTTAATCACTACGGGCTGTTACAAATATGATAGAATTCGTGCACGTTCACAAACCCACACACATTTATTACCAAAATGTATAACTTGACCGGACAGGTCTACCTATTATTTCTTTATATTGCTGATAGTGTCTGCATTTAAAATTGAAACGCCTTTCTGTCCTGAAGACATTAAAGATAAATTTAAGCAGATTGATCATTAGCTCCCTAAACATGCCCTAAAACCAAAATGATGAACTGCCAGTTTACCTTGATATTCATATTTATATTGAAGAATGTTAGAGTGTCCTAAAGCCCCGGTCTTGAAGGACTTACTATCTCTTATTACAGGCACTTTCAGTATATTACCAGCAAACGCTTTGTTAAAATTTGAAATTCAGTGGCATTGACAAAACGGAATACCCTTTTACCCTCTACATTCCCTTCTCTACTACATTTCACTAATAAACCAGACTTTTCTCCAATCCTGGACCCTTCAGTATATGCTTTTTCCAGATTCTTATCCATTGCCTGTTTGCCTTTAAGCCTAAAGTTGAAATCCAACTTTAAATTACTTTCCTTGTCATCTATGACAAGAAGAAGACTCCCCCATTATTAGAATCCCTCCATTGTCACCAACTCATACATGTCCTGTCTTCTATCTCGACCCCTAAAGACCTGTACCTGATTTTTTCCCCATTGTAACTATACCTGCTTTTTTTTTTATTAATTTTTTCAAAGCATTAAACTCATATTTCAGTCTCACATGGCTCTTGGATTCAATGCTTAATCTCTTGCTCTTTTAAATGGACTTGGAGAAAATATTTATCAATACAAACTGTACAATTTTGACCAACGTACAAGTGGCTTATGACATTTTAACAAAATTATATAATCTGTTGTGCTCCAAAGAATTTTTCACATTTTCCAAATGGGTTCTGGAGGATTCATTCACACCCTGTCTGCATCTTAGGTATATACCAGAATGTAGATTTCTTAAAGTGTTTTGACAAAGTATTCTCCCAGTCATCCATAAAGTGTGTGTTGTGCTACTGTACAGCTTGCATGCTATATTGTCAATAGTGGCTTAACTACATATGTCACGACGAATGCAGTTATAACTGTGCTTTCTGCCATATTTTAAGCTGATCATTATCAGAACACATTGGAGTTGTTCATTTGTATAAGCTACAGATATCTGGACTGCCCTTGTTAACGAACACTGATTAGGTAAGGAGACTGAGAAAATGTTTTACCTCGTAGCGTCATTCATGACTATGAAGGATGAACTGGGCAAGGGAAACATATATATCTCAATTCACAATAAATCACCAGAAGCGCAAATTAAGGGAGCTTGGAATTTTTCAATAAACCTGTAGCAGGGATACTCTAGAACATTCCAGTGAAGGCCCCCTAGTGTTTGATTGCACCACAAATAACTATATAGCTAAGTTATCATTTTGTAAATGTGTGTCTTTTTGTGTTTTAGACATTCTTTCCCATCCTTGACGAATTTGTGTAATTCTTTGATCTATGCATGGGGTTATAAGAATAAATTTGAAGATCAGCACAATGCATGGAATGATGAGAGCTAGTGTGTAAGCAGGTGGAAGGTACCACTTGAATCGAGAAAAGATGAGGAATCTGTCCCAGCCATAGACCATAGCATGCGCCGTACACAGCAGCAGTGTAAGATATCCAAGTTTTGACTGAAAGATAAAATAGAAAATATGTTTATTTCATATAAAATATATTTTGTAACATTTAACACCTAGTAGCATTACATGATATTTTCTCAGTATGATATCAGACAATGAGTATAAATAGCGACAAACTTCAGATTTCTTTAGAAGTAAACTAATGATGGAATTACAAATGAGCAGATATTGGGTAGAACATTGTATTGGATACAATTTGTCCGACTTGTTTTAGGCAAGGTATACAGTGATATTAACAATTGAGAAAACATATAATATATAGCATTCAAAATGGTGAAAAATACACAATTAAAAGAGGGAAAGCTCCATTATCCTAAAACTAGAGTGGATGTTCTTATTCGGAGGATCAAGCAAGGACTAAGAGACTTAAAAAAAACGCCCAATGTAAGCACTTACCATAGAAATTAAAACATTTTATTGGCAGCAAACAAACAAAAAACAAAACAGAAGGAGCCATGAAAATGTTGAAAGGAATTTCAGGCTCTTAGGTCCTTAATCATAGGAATGAATAACAAACACAGTTGGACAGTTAAATACTTCGATGTCAAAAGCAGAAGCCAAAGAAAACCACCCGCCAGAGACTCTCCTCTTAAAGAGGTCAATAAAACTACATATCCACCATCCCATAAGGTGATATAAATACAAAAAAAAAAGAAAAAGAAAAGAACCACAAATAAAATGTGCAGGCTTGTATTTATAGTGTCTGTGCCTTTTTGCTTTTACTTGGGGTCATTTTCTTATTTTTAATATTATAACAATAATAATATTTGTAGCGGAGCACTAGTTTCCCATAGACTTCTCTGCTGGTATTAAAACAGTAATGCAGGAACAAGAAGTTAATCCAGGATAAACAGTGTGACGGAACGCTGGCACTCCGACTGAGTACCTCCGCCAATCGATGCTCCTAGCGCTTGCCGAGGACTCCAAGCACTCCAACCGACACCATCAGCACTGCAGACCCCACTTCCAGCGATGCAACTGCGCTGGGGTCTCTGCTGTCTCCACCCACCCTGGACCCAAGGCCAGGATCCAGCTTCCAGTGGGTGAACCTCTCTTTTCCCAGAGAGCAGGAACAAGCTCTTAGCAGAACTTAGTGATCATACCCTGGGGAGTATAGTGATTATAGCAATCCCCAGAGTGTATTTCTCCAATCCCCCAAACATGAGCCACGGCTTAATGCTGGAACAAGACTGATTTACTGGCACACAGAACTCACAATTTATGCAACACAAAACTCCTCCTCTGGGCCAGGCTAGATAATTGAGTTTCTACAATACACAAAGCTCAATTATCTGCTGGCCAGAAATAATACAGTTTCATAAAACACACAGGGACCCCAAAACATGCAATAACCCCATAAAAAGTATATCCTTGGAACCGGGGGATCTGGGTGAACCACATATCCAAAATTCACCCAGATCCGTTCAGTACTTTGGAAAATACAGTTTAATGCAGATTCTGCAGAACATATACAGGCTAAATGAAAAACAATCACTTTATAATGTGTCCCCTGCTGTATAGTCCAAAACCACTGCACGATGTCTCTGTGCACCAAATACTGGCGAGATGGCACCGTGTTGAAAAGTCCAAACAGTGTCTGTGAGTTAAAATGGCCACCATCCATTGTTCTCACCATGTGCTTCTGATACAGGAAATGGTGGCCACCCAGTAACTCCACAGTATGTCCCCAGATGGTTCTTAAAGGGCCAGCAGCAGCACAACACAAATCCATTATGCCCAAATCATGTCTTTAAAGGGCAATACATCCCAGGGGCCATAGTCACAGGGCAAGAGGCGGGCAAGCAGTCCTCTCCAGGCACAAGTGGCGAAGGGCACTTCGTCACAAACAGCATCAATAATAAATAGAATAATCCAGTAATATCCCATCACGATTCCCAATAACTGGACGACACATCTCCTCCCCTAAGTATGACACATAATCCACTTACTCAGTGTACACTTTTCCCCAGTTTCTGGATGTACCCCAAATACATATGATACACCTCTATATATGGTATCCCCTGATAGCTCCGATCTGGGTGAGCAACATACTCAAAAATCACCCAGATTGGACCAGGGGTTCGGGAATTATGTGGATGAGTTTGTTTGACCGACCGAACACGAGGCAGTAGCCGAAAGGAGTTTCATACATTTTGGCCTTGCGTTCGGTCTCTGTTCATGAGCTGAAATGTGTGGAAATACTGGGCTGAATGGCTTGTGTTCATATGATTCTTTCTACCGAACGGCGAGCCGTTTGGTTGTTTCGGCACAAATGTATGGAAGTCTGGAGGTCTCAGCAGTGTTCGCATAGTCGAGTGTCCAATTTGGGTTCCAGACACTCGACAACCAAACACCGCTGTACATTCGTATAGCAAGATGGCCGCCGCCACGTGTTTGTATGCCGAACAGCGGCCATCCAGGGAACACACATAGAGCATTTGTCTAATTGCCAATTAGACTGTGGTTAACACAGATTAGGGGGGTAAACTAGAGGCACACTTCTCTCTGGGGTGATCTGATTGTTTGGTAGTTTGGTAGTATGATGAACAGAGTGGTTTTACCGAACAACCAGACGAATGCTTCCTACAGTACAGATATACAGAAAGTAAATGAAACAAAAATGACATGATAACCATAATTTAGAGACAGCCCAACACAATCCGCTACAATATTAACAATAATAATAATACAAATAATAACAGAAGATCATACTTGTACAAATCGAAATTCCCTCCAATTCACAGTGTTGCTGACGGAAGGTAAGGATGTTATGCCTAAGAGAATATAGAAGAAGAACCCAAGAATTCCGAAAGCCAAATATGTGTCTGATCTCCATGTGCTACTGTACAAAAACGGTCTTGTATTGTTGGATTTTATCTAGATACAAATATAAACAATAAATTAGGCATCATTATCTTATAAATGTCTTCACAAAAAAGGTTTTGAATTTTTGTACAAAGACTGTTTTACCAGACAGTTTAAAAATTTACCATGTCTTTGTTAAGAGGCAATTTTCCTTTAAAACACCCACTTTAGGAAAAAAAAATTAAGACAGCTAGGACTTTCTTTTGGAAATCTTTTTTGTATATGTTAAACAAATATACACAGTGGAGTGATATCTATATATATATATATATATATATATATATATATATAAACAGATTGCAATAAATATAATGTGATATCACTTCTAGAAAATATTACTTATCTGATATTAAATTTGTTTCATATAATCTGTTTTGTGCACCTTTAAGAGTCAATTGACAATCAAAATAGTGTAAAACCTTTACTCAATGTAGAATATAGGTATCTAAAATGGAACACTCACATATTCCAGAGCTATAAAATCTAGCTCTGTGTGTAGAGACTTTTGGGTCTGTAAAGGCGACCCTTCCCCTCTTTGTAGGTGTATATATGGGATTTTTTTGCTTGTCCCAGTAATCCTATAGGTAATCTCAGAAGAAAAAAATATATAGTGTAATCTTTAAAGCCACCAATCTTTAAATAAGGGCTTGTACTCACAAACAAAGAGCCTGTCAATTGGCTCAGTAGATAAGTAGACAAGTAAATTACACATAATGTGCTAGTAAAATTATTCAGTAATTCAGTAATTAATTCAGTAATACATATTATTTGAGAAAATTAGATTGGGGAGGGGGCAGTAAATTAGAAGGGGTGAGGGAGGAGGGTGAGCGCGGTAGGCTGTGTATTAGATTGAGGGCATAGTAGGTAACGTGAAGTGAAGCTTTTGAGGAAATGATATAGATATACCCAGGATTACATATTGCTTGCATGAGAATGATACAAGTAATTTTAGTTTGTGTTGGTCTAGGTCAATCTCTTTTTTTTGCAGCACACATAAACTTAAACATAGTTTATTTGGCCCGTGTTAGCCTTTGAGTTTGACATGCTTGCTCTACATTATGTTTTTCTTTCTTTTTTTTCACCAGTGAAAATGTCCAGTTTGTTAAGCTACTATAGGGCAAACACTGAATGCATTAAGTATAAAAAAAAGTGAGGCCAATATGATCCTTGCTAAAGTAAATGATTAATGTTATCGTCATCATCGGCGTTGAGAAAGGGTTGTTTTTTGGATCTTCTGTTAACATGGGGGGAGGAGGGCAAGACAAATGCTTTTGTTACATAGCATTAATAATCAAGCAAACTTAGTGATGAACACTGTCCCTATACTTTTAAACTAAACCAAAATATAACATTCAGAGTGTTAAGTGATGACATTGCATTTGTACGAATTTGGCTAATGGTTGCCTTTTCAACATTCCCTTTTTAACGTAGGGTTCTCCCAGATACCTGTACATCTTTCCACTACCATCTGTTCTCTGCTAGTGCAGAACCAAACTTCTGTCTTGCACTGGTAGTGTCTAAACGCTCCGAAAAGTGCAGTGTCAGTGTAATACCAAAAATACCAAAATACCAGCAGATTACTTAAAATTACAATTTGTTTAAATCTTGTTGTCACACTTGCTGGTGTTTGTGCATGTACATTATTAATCCAGAGCCTGTATTTAGTACCATGAGGTTCTGGATACTGTAAAATTTATGATCAATTTGATGCTGCCAATATTTTGGCAAAAGATGAAATGAAAAATGAGAATGTAATTATAATTAATAATTAATTATGTAATTAATGTTCATAGTTTATTTTTTATTTATTTTTACATTGAAAAGCAATTTCTGCTTTGTTGTGATTTTATGAGCTACGTTGCTGTGGCTTGCATCTTACCAAAAATATTACACTTGTTGAAAAACTAAAGTGAAAGGGTTAAAAAAGTTTTTCTTCTGAAACACTTGTTATGTAAGGAGTGTAACGAAAGTTTGTGAGTGTATTTAAAGATGCCAGACGTCTAGAAATTGTGACCATCTGTAGAAAATTAATAAATCTGTTAGATGATTTCCCTATGAGACAAACATAGGAAGTAACAGCCACGTGGTGTGTATACAAACCAATATCGAGGACACACAATTTAATTGTTTGTTTCTTGTATATTGTATAGGATTCAAACTGTAACGGTTGTATGTTGCACTAACCTGCTGTAATAAAGTGTTATAAAGGCAGGATTTTATGCATCTTATTTTATTCACATGAGTGTGATCTTTCAATCACATCTACGTTGCTCGTCAGAATTTAAGCAACCAGACACCTAAGTTTGGTTGGTGGGAGATTTGAGTGCAGAGCGTGAGGTGTGTGTGTGTGTGTACAGAGAATGAGAGAGAGATAGAGAGGGAGAGATAGATAGAGAGAGAAATATGCATTGCAAAAAAAAAACCCAGACAGAATCATGGAATGCTGTATTTCATACAATATTGACAGATTAACTCTTTCTACAACTTATAGATTGATGGATTTTTAAAATTACCATATTTAATGATGTGCACAGTCTAAATGAGTATAAAATAATGTTTAAAATATCTTAGATGTTTTATCAAGAATAGTTTAGAATTGTTTTAGTTATGCATGCATATGTTAAAGGGACGGTCTTAACACAAAAAATAACTTCAGCTTAATAGGATACTATTATATACTATATCGCATTGAATTGGTCCAAGTGCCAGTAGTCCATTGGCACTGTCTCTCCATTCAATGTTAAACTATTATGAAACCCTTTAACACTGAATGAGGATCCCTGACTATCTCCAGCACGGCCAATCCTGGAGGTATGGCTTAAGTACAGATTACACAATTCCTTAGTCATATTAATTTGTGCAAGTAATGCACTGCTGTGAAAGTGGTCAGTTTATTCTCAATCGGAGCTATGACAGTGCCTCTACTTTCTGCAGATGGACTGTAAGTGAACTCACCCTCTTTCCACTGTCAATGTCATTCAAGATTTTAGTTGGTTCATTTTTACATTACATTAAAAAGGGATTTCTTTTCATTTCACTGGCAAATATATAAATATACCTATTTGGAGATCATTGATGAGTTATCTAGGGTCAAAACCTGCACTTAAAATATTATAAAATATATTTTTCCATTATCTTAAATGAGAAAAAGGTTTTTCTTCTTTTGAATAGTTACAATAAATATGTGATACACAATAGTAATAGAATTAAATACTTTACAAGGTCTTAAATGCACATTGTAATATCAACATACTGTACCTGTTCAATTATACCGTTGTTTCTTCTGAAGGATACAGAGTAGCGAATTGGAATAACCAGGGTATAAATTGCATGAAGAAACGCATATGCGAGGGCCACTAGTCCAAGTTGCTTGCGACAAAGCATCCATTGGTCAAGAAAATTTGGGAAGCGACTGTACTTTGTTCCTCTATGTAATTGGATAATGGCAGCAAACACTCCTGGAAGGTAAACCAGGGCTAATAGCATTAGTGAGACAATCGGAAATACTTTGTTTGGAATGGTAACTAAAATGTAGTAGGAGACATCTTTTTTTTCATAGATAGCAGTGTAGACCACCATTGTCATAACACAGTAAAGAAAGACAAACACTGTCAGTCCCGCACATATATACATTGGGAGTCTCCACATTGGGAAGAGTTGTAACGGATAATTCTCCACATCTCTGGCAGCCAAGAGAGATCCACGATCCTGAGGAGTCAGTCCAGTGCCTCGTACAATATCCATCACAAAATGTTTTGCTATGTTGTCATTGGAGCAGACAAACACCTGTAGTGCCAATAAAGGTTTCAGATATTTGTGACTGTTTCAGCTTGCATAGGTATAACACTTGTCATTGTTGCATAAACACAGTCAACTAGCTCTCCTTCTTTTTTAGACCAAGACACACTCTTCAATGAGAGAATAATTTTCAAGTATAATAACGTTCTTTTATTTTTTTACCATCAGCAGCAGTTATCACATTTACTTGAAGCCATTCTTGATAGATATGCATGTATCCAGTCAAATAGATTTATTAATTAATTAATTGACTTACAGGAATCCTAACTTTAAAACGGACACATTTGATTACTGCATTCAATTTGTCAGCGCCTTGAAGTCAATGTCTTTGTGGCTCTTATGGCCCAAATCACATCAGTGTGCCATGGAACCCTGGTAGAAAACCATGCAGGTCTACACAACACAAAACTCTTCTTTAAATGGTTCAGTAGATTCAGAGGCCATCAGTTAAACAACCTATGATATCATAACAAACTAAAATATACATTGAAACTAAAAATCAGATTTAATAACAGATAAGTTATATTACCTAATATTATATAGTCTATGTTACCACTGTGATAGATGGGCCTTTGCTCTGAAAAGAGGTGTCAGTAATCTTATAAATGGCAATGCTATAGAATAGTAAGAAATTGTGCTTAATAACATAGACACATATATTTAAAATAGCAAGACATCACTTTTGTATGGTCTGATTGTATATCATATATTACTTTCATTTTTTTATATCTGTCTGTCTGTTTGTCTCTCTATCCCTCTCTGTCTGTCTGCAAAATCAGTGAAAGGGAAGGAAAAATATCTGCATTATAAAATCAAATCACCAATATAGATTTCTGGAATTTCAACTAATTTGTCTGTCTAACTAGTTACACATCTATCTAGCTGTCTGGCTTTGTAAATAACTGATCTTAACATAACAGATTTGATTTTCTTCCTTTAGACAACTTGGCTATTAATGGAAGTTTACACTTGAATAAGTTTGCGGTTGCATCTTCCAACTCCGGGAGATGACCATTAATTATCTTACTTGAATGAATATACAAATCAAAAGCTTAGTACTTTGTTTTCTTGTTTGAAAAAAAAATATCACTAGGCAAAACAAAACCGAAATCCAACAATTAAAATCAATATTTGCAGAAGTCAATATAACAATCTAATTAATCTTTTCTCTATAATGAACACTTACCTGTCTACTTGCATCCAATGTACCTGACTGCAGAGCCCATGCGGACACTGTGTTAAAGGCCTTTACTACTTTAGCTCCAGGTAAAATGCTTGCAAGATATTCTGCATTAGATTCTGGATATTGGTTTATTTTGAGGTTATTGCTGACGTCCACTAGGATTTTTCCTTGTAAAACATCGGACAATTCAGCAAGAAAGCTGTAGTGGTTCCTATGCATTGCCAGGAAGATTACCGAACATTTTTGGGCCGCTTCGGCATGGTTTAATACTTCAACTCCTTTTGGAACCATACTGACAGCATTAGGATTTCGACTTCCATAAATTACAGAATAACCACTCTGTAGCATTTTCAACCCAAGAGATCTGCCAAAATCTCCAGTTCCGAAAATACAAATACGGTCTTTTTTTTCAGTAAAATCTGTGCGCAAAGGTATCAGATTTGAATTAAGTTTTTCCATGATCTGAAAAAGAAGCAGGTATGCAAATGTTATTTAAAACTGATTGTCTATTAAATTCTAACTGTAAAGCAGCGAGAACCAGCGAAACAGGCAGATAAACCCAGGAAGAGACAAAGATCATTATATAAAGGTAGTTAGGAGAAGGGATTACATTCTTTACTCTTTAGCTATTTTTTTTTATTTTTTTTTATTAAGAGAAAAAAAACCGTGCAAATAGTACAACATTCAAGAAAATCACACTACCATTGTGCATTTCAGACTTGCTTTCGACAGCCAATCGATACTCTGGAGAGCTCAGAAAGATCTTAATCAGCTTATTCAGGCAATGTGCATTTAACAACAAGGTGTGCAAATTGGCCTCCCAATAGCCCTGCTTTTTGCAGGACAGTCCCGCCATCCTCCTAGTTTCCTGGTGTCATAAATCTGGGTATATCAGGAAACTGTCCTCAATCAGCACATCGTGGGCACATCTTGCAGTGGGTACTAGGACCATGCATAGAGAGCTTCAGCAAAGCTAGAAAAGTGTGTCTTCCTAATGCCTTGCTGTTTTTCAAAGAACAACCTCAAAACTATTTTAATATAATAATCCATTCTTCAAGCTTTGAAAGGAAATATATATATTTTTTATAATTAAACTATATTTTAAAACAAATTGAAGAACTCAACCCTACCGTTAGTATATGACAGGATCCTTGAGCCATAGGACAGTGTTAAAAACAAAACAAAAGGATAATTATTATTATTATGAAAAAGTTTAATTAGGTGATCTAAAAATAAAAAAAATAATAGCCCCTAGTTTTTGAATATTGTAGATATTTTTTTTATTTAGGTCCAGATAGTGCATCTCTGTTTAGCAAGTCAGATTTAATCTGATTGCTTAATGAGCTTACAAAAAACTAAATAGACAATTATATAAAAGTTAAATTGTAGCACCCATAAAGTTCAATTCCTAATGCAATGTATATATGTCTTTAGCTTAATTATCTACTGTGTTTGTGTATTATTGCACACTTATTTTCTACCTGAAGCACACCGTATAATCTACACTTTCATACTGTCGTGTCAACTTTAAATACATAATTTTAAACAGACTATTTTCATACATTAATGTTTTATTAAAATGGATAATTGCTAGGTGTGCCCGCAGCAACCTTTCCACAGAGACAATTTACATTTACATTAGTTATATAAACTTAAATCGTAACGACTCAATGCAAAGAGAACAGCCGAGCCCATCATATCGGCCTTGTAATTCCGACAATGGTGTTTTGGGCTAGGAGAACTATTACACCGTACTGTTCGTGCTTATTATGATTAACGCACACTTCTATTTTACACCTCCACCTGCTGCAAATTTTCCTTTCTATTATCTATATTGGATATCTATGCATGCAATTTTTTACTTACTTTATAAAAAAAACAAAATAGAGAATTAAAATCCTCAAATCTGCTAAATGGGTCAATATTTATCTGTTAGTGTCATTGGTCAAGGTATGTGGAAACACTCCAAATCCATGTAGTGCTGGATTATTTTTTTATGCTTAATTTGTTAGCAGACCTTAAATTTCTAGGAAGGAAAATTGACCGTTTTGAGCTCATCTCTAGATTTATACTGGGCTCCCCAAATTTAGAGATGATTCCTATATTTTGAAGCACAGTCCTAGCCACAGTAATTAACTCACTGAGCTATTGCACTTTGAGTACAGACAATATTTTGTAATTATCTACATCTATTCACTAAACAGTGATATCTGCTGAGCTGACAACCAGTTAATACATTTTCAAAGAGCAGTACGTTTATTTTAGAAGGTGTGTCTGAAAGTGTGACTGTCTTTCACATATTTCAAATTGTTATTAAGGCACAAAGCTTTGTTACAAAAACAGTGGTGACATTAATACATAGATGTAGAGTAGTTGTGTAGCAAATGTATGACAATACTGAAATTCGACAAGGGTCGCACAATGGAGCATATCACACACAATAAACTGAGACAGGTTTAACGTAACAAAAAAGAACAGCAACGTTTCGACCTGCTAAGAGGTCTTTGTCAAGCTAGCAGGTCTTAGCAGGTTGAAATGTTGCTCCTCTTTTTTGTTCCATTAAACTTGTCTATATTACGAACACCTTGAGTGCCTGGAGATTTTCTTTTTGTTTGTCTGATCGCTGTGGGATTGGTGGTCCTGCTCCAGTGCACCGGGTGTCTTTTGGGATTGAGTGCGGCTCCTATATTCATTTTTGTAACTCAATCAACTGAGGCCCCATTTTATAGTAAGTGAAGAGAACAAAGCAATAAATTACATAGTGCGGTGAGGTTATTACTAAAGTGGTCAAACCAACACATATCATTTGAAACACACTGGTACTGATTAAGATTAAAAAAAGGCAAACTGCCTTAGATTAAAAGATGTTGAAAAGAAGATAATGGTGCCACTGGAGACAAACTCATAATGCAATGATATAGAAATCAAAACAAAGAGCTGCCCACTTAAAATGTAGATGCTAAGAAGAAAGAGGCAAGGATGAGGCTACTATTAATTTTGAATAACCTAACCTTAAAACTTTATTACATGATCATAACAGCCCCCCATGAAAGATCGCTAGCTTACTCCAGCCTACAGTGTGTCAAATCTGAATTTGTTAAGAAAGTCCCAGCACACTTAAATGCCCAGCAAAGCCCATTCCAATAGTTCCAGAGCTCCATACGAGCAGTCATCTAATGCCCTCAGATCTGGTCCTCCAATGAGCCTTGATGGTATAACCATCACCAGCGAACCACTCTCCTGAGTGTAGGGCTGAGATGAGGAGATATTCTCTAAATGGCTTGAGGTTCGGGAAAGTCAGACAGAGATGCCAGGTACACAGTAAGATAAGGCTGAAAGCCTACCCTTTTTTGGAGAGGCAACTAGGCACCATGGTGGGATTGCTTTGGCCAGAATAAAGCTCAGGAGTCGCCACAAATCTGCATATAGGAGCTCCTCCATGGGCTGAGTGAGAGAGCTGATCCTGTACAGGGCTACCATAGTGGCCATCTTAGAATTCAAGCTAATTTGCACTCTCTGCAAGACCTGCTGATAGCTGCTTCAGAGCTGCCCAGTTGGGACCGGGATAACCACCACTGATCTAAAGGGGGAGGAATGGTACCAGACAGATTGTACATTAGGAGTCAATGCTCAGCAGTCAGGAACAGGAGCAGAGCAGTGGCCATCCACAGTACTCTCTGCCCGAGTAGGCCTCAGTGTCGCTAGTCTTCTTCTGGAGCCTCACAGCACCCGTTGTAGGGCACAACCGTATGCCCCATTAGTTGCTTGTGTTGCAAATGAGAAGGTTTTAGTTCTGGATGCAAGTTTATGTCGTTAAATTGTTGAATAAAGACTAGAAGCATCAGAAACTGTTGTGACATGCGGCCGGAAAGCACAGTGGTCCAGCCCTGCTCCCCTACATTTATACATTTTTTCCATATTGTTTTTTTGCTTTGTTTACAGATAATTATGGAATATATACCTTTTAAAGCATATCATCAAATTATTATTAAAGTGTGTCCAAGGCAAACTCAAATATCTGTCTGCATAACTATTACTACAATAAAATGAATAGTGGAAATTAAAATGGCACTCTAAGTAAAATAACCACTATGGCTCATTGCAGTGGTCATAGTGCTATAAGTCTAAAGTTGCCTTGCCCATTTTATCAAATCATTTTGGAGCACTTTAATAAAACCCTGGGGGCTCCTTGTTGACCCTGTATCCAGACTCTCTTTACCTCCGCAGATAATGTGAAAGCACCAATCCAGGCTTTCAGGGCAAAACTCCTCAATGCTTTTGTCTTAAAATTGTTTTCCAGGTAGGGCAGATCACCAGATGATAATATTAAAATGTAAATTCCACAATACGAGTGGCTAAAGATGGAGTGGATAGAGGCTCCAGGGTCACAACCAACAATACAATGAGTCTTTATGATGCTTGGAGTACTCTTTAATAAATAAATGATGTGTCTTACAAACCTCTAATAAAGGTATACATGGTAATGTGATCCCAGTTCTACTAAACTGTTGCAGCAGCAGAACAGATAGGTAAGTGCATAAATTAAACAAGTCATTCTGATAGAGCCTCCAAAATCCACTGGATACAACTCATACCATTACTAAACTATACTATGTTTCCTCAGTCAAATCTGTTGTTATAACATACAAGGAATACATTAATAGCGGTAACATTCCCCCTCCACCCCCTGTTTTTAGAGTTAAAACGAGAGGGACAAAATGAATTTCTTAAACCAGAGAAACAGCCAAGTACTCAGGGTTGCTTAGTTGTATACTATTAAATTGTTAGGATAAAAATGTCTTCTCCGAGATGTTTTATCCAAACATTTTAAATCTGTTCACATATTAGAGTACTGCATTACACGATCAATGAAAAAAGCATGCTAAAACATTTATCATTTCATAAAATTATTTTTTTTTGGTACACATTTGCTATTAATATTATTATTAATTCTGCAGCCCTATACAAAGGTTCTTTTACAAAATGGTTTACATTATGAACTGTGATTAGTCATTATTTTTTATTAAAACATTTGTAATACAGTATAGCATGTAATAATAATTATTTATAATAATGGTAATACATCACATTTTTTTTTAAGTATCACGTTACATAACTTTTTGTTCACAGGTAGAAATACAAAAAAATATTATAAAATAACTTACCTGTTGTGAGTTTTTTCAGTAAAGACTACCGTAGTGTAGCAAAATATGTTTGAGCCTCTAAGTGTGCACTGCATGAAAAACACTGTGCTTTCGGATCATCTTTCACCTGATCTATTTATTTTGTCTGGCTGATTTCGTAATGCTAGTCATTTCCTGAAACTAAAAGTATGTTAAAAGACTGCCAAAGCAGAACTGGAAAACCCTTTCACTACTGAGGGCTTATTTAAAAGGGACACGGTCATTGAAGTGGTTATGGTGCCTGGAGTCCCCTGGTGCTGGCTTATAGTCCAGTTTTAAAGCATTTTCTAAACAGTTTAACACTGAATAAAAGTTCCAGGCTGCCTGATGCCTGCCCCCTCTGGAAGTATGTCAGGAGTCCATGTGCCAATGTACTACAGCTGTTTTGGCAGCGCGAAGGGGATATACACAATATTAGGCATGTGGTTTTATTGTTGTGGCTGATTAGTGTAGTCGTGCAGAGGAGAAGCACAGTTGGGTTTCAATATATTTTATTTTGAAGTAATTAAAAACATTTTTTATGATTTGTTTTCCAAGAATTGGCCTTGAATTTACAGCCAATAACTAAAAAGGAATTAAACAATTTCCTACTTCCTACATCTGCTTGGTAATGAACTTTGCAGATGGACTTTTGGATACTAACTGATGTTGCCGTGTTCTTTTGCACTTGACGTAAACTTACGACAAAAGGAAATATTCTGCTCTTTTGATTATAAGTAAATGTAAAACACTTTGCCATAACTTAAATGCATGACTGAGACCATACATAAAGTGTACACAGTATACAACTGGCTTCATTCCAAATCATATTTCAGACAAATTAGGACGAATTTGGCAATTCAGAATTTCCGAATTCCTTACAAATTGAAATGAACCAAAACCGAGGAAATTAGGAATGATTTGAAATACATTTTTTCAGAACTAATTGTTTTTTTAAGGATAGAAAATGAGGGACTTATCTATTAAGCAGCTAAAACAGCAAAATTGAATTTTGTTTCTTAATTTTGACAAATCAGCTGTTTAGTAGATAGCTCCCTAATTTGGTATCTTTACATTGGATTGCAATACTTAAGGGTACCAAATTAGAGACTAATCTACTAAGCAACTGAAACAGCAAAATTAACTTAAGGGCTTTTCTTAATTTTGTTATTTTCAGTTGTTAAGTAGTTAGCTCCCTAATTTGGTATCCTCAAGTGGGATTGACATAATTAAGGGTACCAAAATAGTACCTGTTGTGTTTAATGGATAGCTCCCTCATTTGGCATCCTTAAAAATGGCAATCCCACATATGGTACCAATATCTATAAAACAGATGAAACAGCTGCTAAACAGCTGATGCTTTTCCTAATTTAGAATTTTTAGTTGTTAAGAAGACAGCTCATGAATTTGCTATCGTGTGTATATCTAATTCATTCTACTGTGTATATCAATGCAATACATGCAACTCATATGTTCTTTATACATGCAGCATTTACATCCTACATACAAGCACCATATACATCCTATGTACATGCACCACATATTTTCTATATACATGCAGCATTTACATTCTGTGTATATGCAGCATATATCATATAGACATGCAGCATATACACTCTATGTACATGCAGTATACATATCTTATGTATGTAGCATTATTTTGTATACATATAGCATATACATCCTATATACATATATCTATATCTCTCTCTCTCTCTCTCTCTCTCTCTCTATATATATATATATATATATATACACGAGGTATATACGCCTCAAGACCTCTGAATGTGTCCTGTGGTATCTGGAACTAAGACATTATCAAGATCCTTTAAGTCCTGCAAGTTGGAGGTAGGGCTTCCGTGGATTGGATTTGATGTTCCAGCACATCACACAGATGGTCACTTGGATTGTGATCAGGGGAATTTGGAGGTGGTACGTGTTAAAGTAACATCCAAATGAAGGTTTTGGAGCAGAACATTGCCCAGAGGATAACACTGCCTCCGCCAGCCTGCCTTCTTCCCATAGTGCAACAATGTACACACACCGGGTCATCTTGCTGATCTAAAAGAAAACGTGATTCATCAGACCAGGCAACCTTCTTCTATTGTTCCATGGTCCAATTCTAACGCTCACATTAAGTACAGCCATTTTGTTAAAGGGATCCTATAGTGCCAGGAAAATAAACCCGTTTTCCTGGCACTATAGGCTGCTGGAGAGCCCCCTCCCTCGCGCCCCCCCTCCTGCAGGGCTGAAGGGGTTAAAACCCATTCAGTCACTTACCTGAATCCAGCGCCGATGTCCCTTGGTGCTGGGTCACGCTCCGCCCCCACACTCCATATTCTCATGCACGGCAATGGCTGGGCACGCATTAGACCTCCCCATAGGAAAGCATTGTTCAATGCTTTCCTATGGGGAAAATCTGACGCTGGAGGTCCATGAGGACCACCAGCTTCAGATGACGGACCAAAAGTCTATTTGGATTCCAGAAGCCCTCTAGTGGCTGTCTGTTAGACAGCCACAGAGGGCAGTCTTAGAGCTGCAACACTAAGTGCAAAAGGGTCACAGCACCCAGACAACTTTAATTAGCTGAAGTGGTATGGGTGCCTACAGTGTTTTGTTTTCAGCTGCATAGTAGATAGCTCTTCAATGTGTTAACCTTATGTGGGACTGCCAATTTAAGAATACCAAATTAGAGAGCTATCTAGTACACTCAAAAGCTCCCTAATTTGGTACCCTTAATTATGGCAATGCAAGGTTAAGTAAGGGAGTTATCTACTAAACAGCTTAAAGGTCACAATTAGAGGGTTACTTCAACTCATATTCAACCTAAGTGTTTTTATTTTAAATTTTATATGCATTAATCCTTGGTCCCTTCAAAAAAGCTAATCTTCCATGCCTCAGTGACAGAATTCTCATAGAGAAGCCTGTGATTGTGCTGTTTGGCAACTCGGAGTGCATGCGCTCAATCTGAGCTGGCGAGGAGAGGAGGAGGAAGCAGCGGATGAAGGGTGGGAGGGGTGAGCACATCTAGTGTAAAACACATGTGGCCACATATCCCCTAGGTCAGCATTCCTAGACATTTGTCATAATAACATGTTCCTTTTCTGTGTTCCGGATATACATACGTAGAGACAGTCACTACAAGATCTGATAATACAGATTACTACAGAAACATATTCACTAAATTCTAAAATGAATAGAATTAAAAGTGAATTGAAAAGTCAACTTTAAAATAGTGGAAATTAACCTGAATTTTCCAGTTTGACTATTATAGCCTAAAATTAGAAATTTACTTTGTGAATAACCCTATAAACATTATGGATATTTGAATTACAAACAAGTCTCAAACAGATGTTAACAAAATGGATTATTAATCAGATATTCAGGGGATTTTCTCACTCTACCATTACATGTAATTCTGTTTGCTGCAGTTGTAACTATAGTGTAATTATAAAAGTCTGACCCATTACCAGTGCTTTGTTTATCTACAATGTTACCCTGAACAAAGACACAGGAAAGCCATTGCGACATTTGACATAGACAAACAAAATGCATAAAGTATATCAAATATTAAAGAACTTTGGCAGCAAGGCAAACACGTTCTTGCCTGATAATATATGAAATGAAAAGAAATAAAAAAGGGTGATGTCATAACGGCACTCCTTACTCGGAGGGGTCAGAAGTTTATAGCACTAGAACAAACACAAAATTCCGGTTAAAGATGAACATAATTGATAAGCTAATGGGGAACGGGAACTTCTGCTTTAGTGATATTTGTTAAGAGGGGCGAACTGTGATGGCCGAGGTGACTGAGGTAAGGGTCAATCTAATTCTTAACTATAATCACTATAGCTGGTTACTGTGGTTGTATTGAATCGAGAACCCTTTTAATGAAGATACAACTTTCTATCTAGTCAATAAATAATGTTATTTTGGTTAAATATTTGTAGACCATGGTAACACTTTGTAAAATCTTTGCATGTACTGTATGCCTGGAATTATTCTGTGCACAATTGAACAGAATCTTAGATATTGGACATCATTTATCCTGGACATATTTATAAACAGTCAATGGAAAAGAAAGCGCACAATCTTTGAATTCTATGGTTTTAAATATTAGGACATAATAACAATCATCTGTTCCTTAGCAAAAAAAAAAAAAATTTCAAATAACATCTTCATTTTGGCTTCATTTGTGTTAAATAAATCTTGACACAGTGTAATATGTCATGCGTTGTTCATCTGAAGTTGTATTTATCTAATGTTAAGACCTGCTAAGGAACAGATGATTATTATTGCGCTACCATCACCTCTACCTCGCAGGCTCGCTGCCTGGGTGTTCTTTTTGACTCCAACCTCTCCTTCACCCCTCATGTCCAATCAATTGCCAAATCCTGCCGCTTCCATCTCAAAAACATTGCGCGCATCCAAAGCTATTTAACCCCGGATTCGGCTAAGGTGCTGGTCCATGCCGTTGTTCTTTCTCGCCTGGACTACTGCAATAGTCTTCTCAGTGGTCTTACGTGTTCCCAGATTGCACCGCTGCAATCTATAATGAATGCAGCGGCGAGGCTCATTTTCCTGTCCGCCTACACCTCTCACGCCTCCCCGCTCTGTCAGTCCCTGCACTGGCTTCCAGTTAGATATAGGGCACAATTTAACATTCTGGTGCTTGCTTACAAGTCCCTACATAATGCTGCTCCAACCTACCTATCCTCCCTAATACACAAGTATGTCCCGTCGAGGCCCCTGCGCTATGCCAAAGACCTATGTATATCTTCTGTCCGTACTCCCACCTCTAACGCTCGCCTCCAAGACTTTTCAAGGGCTGCACCACTTCTGTGGAACTCCCTTCCCTTCTCCGTAAGAATTTCACCCAGTCTCCACTCATTCAAAAAAATCATTGAAAACTCACTTCTTCAAGAAAGCATATCAATTAAACTGTTAGCAGGTTTTCATCCCCCACCCTCCATGACTCCTCTCCTGCAACTGTCAAAAATTACCTACTAAGCCCCCAATTAATACTTTTCTAACAACCTACTTTGTACCCCTACTTTTACCCTTTGTGTCACTATACCCCACTCCCTCTATAATGTAAGCTCATTGAGCAGGGCCCTCTGTCCCTGTATATCCAGTTGTCTGGTTACAATTACATGTATGTTAGTCCACCCATTGTACAGCGCTACGGAATTTGATGGCGCTATATAAATAATAAAATAATAATAATAATAATAATTATTATTATTGTGCACCGATATGTAAAACCACAGAATAGAGGGTGTACTTTCTTTTTCCTAAGACTCCACATTTATTTTGATCCAGTACAATTTAAAAACTAAAAAATATTTGTGATAACACATGGAGTAGTGTGTATTCCATATCATATTCTAGATTATTACTATGATATCAAATGGACAATATAAATGCAAATAACACAAGAATAATTAATATTATAGCATGTATAGCTAGTGAGGTTAAAAAACGGAACCAAAAGCAATCAAATTAGTATTATAGCAACTGGTTGTCAGAGTTTAGTTTAAAAGATAAAAGATTAAAAAGCACAGAGAGAGGAGAGAAGAACACATTTTTTCTTTGTTTGTTTTACCATGGCAACCACAGCTGTACACATTTACATTTCCCAAGAAAAAAAAACAAAATCAAACAAACAGAAAACCCTTCAGATAAAGTCTGACAGACTTTAAATGTATAGCTGACACAATAAAACAAATTAAATTTGTTATAACTTGCTTCAGTGTTTCAATAAAACGTTTAAAAGTTTCTTTAACTCATAAATACAGGCTGTGGTTTGGACTACTCTTCACAGTACTTTCCACCATCCTTAATTCAGTCATGTATCTGTTTGTGTTTCATGCATGTGCATATATGTGTCTGTGAACCCGCACGCATGTTTATGTGTTTGCATTTAAGTGTCTGTGTTCTTTGTGGTTGTCATGGTGCGGGTGGGAGTGCGTTCGTGTGATACATTCAACAGTAACTGAAATGACAAGGAGCAGTCTCTGGCATTCCAGCTGTTGTGGATCTAAATTCAAAAAACTATTTATTGAGGAAAATATTCTGCAATGTAAAAGATACATAACAACAAAATATGTTAATAATGCTTTCTAAGGATTGTGGATACAAAACACACAACCTACTTTTCATTATTTACTAAGCTGTTTTTTGGAACCTCTTGATGCCATTATTTTCCTATAATATACAGTTACCGTTGTGTATCCCGTTTCTCTCTCTCTCTCTCTCTCTCTCTCTCTCTCTCTCTCTCTCTCTCTGTCTCTCTCTTACTGACTACATTTAGGAAACATTGGATATAATGCAATATTCACATTACACACCGATTGTAGGAGGCGTTGGATCTGTAGCCAAAATAAGAATAACTTGCAACAGCTTCACAAAACATAGAATGCTATGCCCTTATTCTGCCAGCATCACCAACAAATGGGGAGAGATATTGAGGTAGATCTTCTCATCATCTTCAGTCTGTCTGGCAATAGATATGGTGCACCATGCAGAAAGTAATTTAGGGAGTGTCTCTGTGGAGTTGTAGGAGGTGATGACTCCCTGTAATACAAATAGGCTCTCTGCCAATGTAGTTTGCAGAAAATCTAAACTTCTAAGTCCTGTTGCAGCATGCATTGCTGTTTCTCTTCTGTGGAAGAGAGGTGAAAAAAAACATACATATTTAGGCTGCAAAATACATTTTAATAATAGGCTCTGTGGGAAGCCAAAATTTGGATCTTTCAGAGTTATTCACGAAAACGGAAATTAAAGGTGAATTTAACATTAAGTTAAAAGTTAAGGTCCAAATACCTGAACTGGGAAAATTCTCTCAGTCAGCTATGAAATTTTTAAATTCACTCTAAATTCTCTCTTCAGTAAACAACCTGTAAGAGTCCCAGGATATGATACTTGTGGGGCTACTACTTAATAGATTGTAGAGTTTGTTTTCAACGTTCCAACTTGATTACTATTTACATTGGCAAAAAGTTAGACTCACTCAAGACCCGGTCTTAAACAAATTGGTCAGTTAGTGAGGCGCATGCGCACCAGTGCAGGTCTATGTTCGGGGAAATTTCCCCGAACATAGACAAGCGCAGCAGAGCAGGGAATCCCTCAAATCTATGTTCAGGGAATGTTTCTTCATAACTTAAATATCCCTTTCCTTCTATTAATTTTGTAGCCTTCCACACTTTATCTATTGCCACCATATCCTTCTTCTAAAGTGAGGTCTTACCATTGATTTATAAAGAGGCAAAATTATATTTTCATCTTGAGAGTAATACCACAGTCTCTTACCGCCCCGTAACTCCAGTTGTCATCTGTATTATAATTCAAGTCCACCTTGGGCCAGTAAAAGCAGGTTCTGTATCAATGCTCCTTTAGTAGGAGATCCGCTGTATGTAAAGTAATATCCACAGTCCTGTGTAACACCTTATTTCCAGTGATTCTCGCTGTGATAATAATAGATAATAGATAATGACAGAAAACGTGCAGGTTCAGTGGCTATCTGTCTCGGGTGTGCCAGGAAATGTTCTGTCTTTAGCGTGTAAAGGCCTGGTTCACAGCAAGTCATCTACACGTTTCATCCATAATGGACTTTGTCAAGACTATGCTTGTGTTGGAATATACCCTACATTAAATAGGGAGTTAATTGCATAGTCCAGATTAAATCTTATTGCTACCACAGTACTTTAAGGCTTTTGAAGCCTTTTTAGACCGAAACATCATGTGTTCTATTTCCCTCTCTCTCAGACTACAAACATTAGAGGTAAAACACTTTGTATAGACTGTCTACTCAATGGTGGGTTTGTTCTTTATATTATTTTTGCTTTTGTTTTATTTACTTATTTATGATTTTGTGTAAATTAAATTGATTAACTACTTTTTGGTGACCTTTGTATTACATTTAGGATACACTTGTCTAGAGATAATATATACATGCATGAACTATTTTTTTTAATATGATATCAAATAAAGATTACTTTTTATTTATATATTGGTGTGCAGTAGTTTCTATTTGTAGTTGTACATTTGACCACCAGGGGAAGTGGTTATTCCAACTTTCTGCACCCATTACATTTAATAGCAGGGTATACTGGATTGTGTCCCCCTGTCTATACCAATGTTTTCTCTATTTTGACGTATACACACCTGTAGTGTGAGTTAGACATGTGCAATTCGGATGAATTTCGGACATTCAGATGCTTCCAAATGTCCGAATGGCCGAAGTGCCAAATTTCCCAAGTGCCGAAGTGCCGAATTTCAGAAGTCCGAACGAAACTGAAGTGCTGAAGTGCCGAATTGCTGAATTTCCGAAGTGCCGAATTTCGGAAGTTCCGAACTAAACTGAATTGCTGAAGTGCAGAATTTAGGAAGTGCCAAAGTGCTTTGGACTTCAGAAAAGTGGCAAAATGGGTAAGGGTAGATTGGGGTAGGATTAGGGATAGGGATAAGGATAGGGTTAGGGGTAGGGTTAGGAGTAGTGTTAGGGGTAGGGTTAGGGTAGGGTTAGGGTTAGGTTAGGGTAGGGTTAGGGTTAGGTTAGGGTTAGGTTAGGAGTAGGGCTAGGGTTGGGTTAGGAGTAGGAGTAGGGTTAGGGTAGGGTTATGAGCAGGGTTAAGGGTAGGGCTGGGTTAGGAGTAGGGTTAGGGTAGGGTTAGGAGTAGGGTTAGGGTTGGGCTAGGAGTAGGGCTTGGGTATGGTTAGGAGTAAGGATAGGGGTAGGGTTTGGGTTAGGGTTGGGTAAAGAGCAGGGTTAGGGTTAGGGTTGGGTTAGGAGTAGAGTTAGGGTTGGGTGTAGGATTAGGGTTAGCGCAATTGATTGGTTGATTTCAATTCACTTTGGTGTTTGCTTTATCAAAGTGGAGGGATTCTTGATTATTATACCACCTTTATTTATCTTTGGGTGTTTTGCATGTATTTTGGGTGCTTGGTCACTATTTCTGTTTTTATCTTCATTCTATATTTAGCAACATTGCTCAGTCTTATATATAATTAGAAGGATACTTTTTAAATCAAATTTCACAAATATCTAAAATAATTTATTGTATCCAATATTGTTTTAGTAACAGGTCTTATTAACAAATAATACGTTTCTGTATTTGTATATAGGACATTTATTTGTAAATGTTAATACTATTTTAAATAGAGAAACAAATATTGTTATTTTTAATATGTTACACTAACACTGCTGTTTTCTATATTTATAAATGTCTATTCAGGTAACATACATAGAAACACTCTATTATCAATAAGTGTGTAATTTCTCTATTAAGACTACTTGATTAGATATGGGTGAGATTTATCAAAGTTTTGCAGACTGTTTTGTTCTTTATTTTCTTAGGAAGGGGACAATTTTTGAATCATGTATGACATCTGTTATTTTTATCTGTTGCTCATTTTGCCCACTGCTATTTTTCTACCTCAAAATTGCTGACTACTCTATATTTGATCATTTGTGAAATTTATTTTTTTTGTAAAAAATTGCAGAATTTGGGTAGAGAAAAGCCAATCATCTTTGGATCAGTTTTAGAACAATATAATAAATCAGACTATAGACCAAAAATAAAAAACAAGTTTCAGAAACTTTTGATGACTCTCTCCTATAATGACAAAACATGTCCTGAGTACTGAGGTAAATTTGACTTGAATGTAATATTTATATTATATGAATGACCATGTTGTAACAGAAAAACTGCCTCAAGAATACAGAGATATGTTTTAAATAGGAATATCTATGCTTTAAACCAGACCTGCACGACTTGGCAGTTGGTATGGGCCAAAATTAATATAGGTTAAACTTTTTCTGGCCACAGACAGGTTTTTAGCTCCTCACTATTCAAATAAAGGTGTACACTTACATATAACAACACACACACACACACACACACACACAGACATATAGATATACAGACGCACACACTGACAGGCATACAGATACACACACTGACAGACATAAAGCTACAGACACTGACAGACAGACAGAGATACACAGACACACACTGACAGATATACAGATATCCTGACACACACAGACATAGAGATGCATACACACTGACTGACATACAGGTACACACACACACACACTGACAGGCATACAGGTACACACACCGACCGGCATACACGTACATACACAGACTAACAGGCTGTCACTTACCACCTTAGTGCTGTGGCCACCCGGTGGGCCGCTTAGTGTGCGTCCACCCAAAATCCTTTGGCGGGTCGTACGTTGTGCACGCCTGCTTTAAACAGTTATATAAAGTAATCTGACCACCAAATTAAAAAATTTTGTCTGACATAACTATATCACATTAATTTTCCAACTTAGTGGAAGATTCCAGTAAAATTACAAACTGGTTAAGATTTGCCCTTGAAATAAGTAACTGATAATTTTAACCCAGTCTCTGTACACACTTGTCTATTGTGGTTTTCTTGTCTGTACTAATAGAAATTCTTACACAACGTATCCGTGTATTATACAATTAGGCAATGTTTTGCAAGATCAATAAAAAATTTTTATATAAAAAAACAATCTGGATAACAAACAGTTTGACTAAAATATATAGAATGAATGGTGGTGAAGCTTAATAATTCTAAAAAGTGTTTTTTTTATAACTTTTTAATATTGCAGAGGTAACATCTGTTATCTGTAAGTGTATTTTTTATATGGTAATCAAGGTCTAAATTTATCAATAAAACACAGAGTAACAAAAGAGTAAATTGACAGGCTTTCTTGCCTTTCATACTTTGATAACTGAAAGTTTATAAAGTTAAAACAGATGGACGAATTTCCTGAAAACTTTACACTTGTTATCTCTTTGAAAATATTATATACTATAATCACTACAACATAATATACATTTAAAAATATATAACTGGACTAAGATCCTGACTAATTTATCTACACTAACATCTTGCTTTAACCACATGGTAGCCCATAAAAAGTTGATCTACTGGTGGTACTTGACACCTACCAAACTTCACAAAATATACCCCACTGTATCCCCCTTGTGTTGGAGATGTGGGATAGAACACAGTACAATGCTACATGTTTGGTGGTCATGTAACGGAATTAAAGATCTTTGGCACGATGTTAGTAACTTATTAGTAACTTATTAGCCCTATTGGGCTTGGAGGGATTTCCCATAAATCCGTCCACCTGCCTCTTTTTTCTCTTTCCAAGAAATACCACCCGATCTTTGTCACAAACTGCAGCTTTGGTCTTCCTTGCTGCACGCAGTTTGATAGCGACTGGATGGAAATTCACAGTTTGCCCTTCCGCCTCTCACCTGAGAGACAAGGTTCAGCAATATTATTTATATGAACGAATGTCTATAGATAGACCTTATAAAACACAAGTGTTTGACGAAGCGTGGAGTAAGTGGATGGAAACATATGGGCAGCCAGATACCAAGGGTATTACATAACACAGATCTAGCCAACATATACACAGGTGGCACAACCTACGGTTTCTTTCTGGAGGTGGGATAGCTAATATTTTGACGTATGAAATTAAACCTCTATGAACGGCTGTTCCAAACTTTAGGCAGGATGCCCTGTACTGATAGTTGGGTCTTACTTTTATGTTAACAATTTTTATTATTGTTTCTATCTTTTTCCTTTAACCATATGACTAGATGATTAATTATGATTGGAAGCAAGCAAGCAGGATATCTCGAATTGTACTGAGACCAATGTATGTCCATGTGAATGATGACTCATGTACAAATGTTTACTATGGATTGTATTACCGAGACGTTATGTAATGTTATTTTTATGGTGAAAATCAATACAACATTAATGGGAAAAAATATATACAACTGGTTATGAATTTAGAGAGTACAAATATAGGATGATGATTGATAAACATGTGTGACATAAGCTGTTTTTGGCTATTTTTTGTTGTGATTTCCTTTTCTTTTATTACATAGACACAACTATAAGTGTACAATGAATGAAATGAAAGGTGTCTATTTTAGTAGGTTTTCTATTGATACATCTGGAAAAGGCAAGGGGTAAGGAGGAATGCATTTCATTTCTACAGAAAAAAAGCAGAACATCTTTGTCTGACAAAAGTGGGCGAAGATATTCATAGCATCACACACCTGCACAAATGGTCCAGCAAGGAAGCAGAGAAAGAAGCAGATATATCTCTTCTACTTTCTTTTTTACCTGTGATCAACAACCATGGCTCCTCGGGTGTTTCTGGATTACATTTCCAATTGCACAGAGTCAATCTTTAGGTTTACCAAGTATTGTGTAAAATGCTGCTCAGAATGATCTATTGGGGTTCAAAATTAGCCATCCCTGCGCTAAACCATTAAAATCAGTGGCAAATGAGGTCCCGAGGTCCAAAGTTCTATTTAGTATGCAGTTCAGTTTCCAACCAAACTTTGCGAAATCATTATAGTTAATTTGTTTCTTGGGTATACGTGGAATAGATTGCACTCAGTTGTTAAACAGAATTCATATTGGCATTTTCAGGGGGTTGTTAGTCTCATAGAACAAAGTCAATCTTTCGAGTGAGTACACAATGTTGCATGAAACTGTTTCCTCATCATTTGAGGCTCATTATTGAGCGTTTCACCCTTCTTAGCTTTTGGCATTTCTTTCCCATCCTTGTCGTATTTTTGTGATTCTACTATCCAGGCATGGAATGATGGTGATGAACTTTAGCACTAGCACTGAGCATGGAATAATCAGAGAAACAACAAAAGCTGGGGGGAGAAACCATTTGTAAAACGGTCCATAGATAAATCGGTCTCCACCATACACGAGTGTATGTGCCGTACATAACACCAATGTCAAGTATCCCAATTTTGACTGTAAAAAAGGCAAATTTTGAAATATGTTATTTTTCTTTGAGCATAGGTACATTTACTAAATTAAAGACATTTTCAAAACAACCCTTATTGTTGGCTAAAATCATATTTACATGGATAGTTTATTAAAAAACATAAAAAAGCAGTAATTACAAAAATAGAGAACATTTGTAATTAGTAGCATTTTAAAGTACATCGGCATTTACTAATTAGCGTGACTGTCCATTCAAACTATAAAAGCGTATATATAAAATGATTGCCTGAATATGGCAAATTTAGTGCACAATGGCTCAACATCACAGATTGAGCAACACTGATCAGATTAGTCCCTGTCTTTCAAACCATGTTAATGTTTGATGTATACAATGAAGAAATGAGTAACTGTGTTAGGCTCTTTACTGCCTGCATCTCTCTCTAGGGGTATCTGGTAGAATGGAGGGGCTGAAATAAAGAAAGCAACTGTATACAGCAACTAAAGAAAGCCCAGAGAAGCCAGGCCATCCTTTTCCACCAAACAACACACAAGGTTATTCACTGAATGAAGAATTCTCCATATGAATAATTTCTTCAGTTTGAGTATACTGTAGTTAAAATTATACTAAAGGCACCCATATCACTTCATTTCCTTGAAGTGGTCTGGATACAGTGCTCCTTCCGTTTTAACCCTGTAATTTAAAATATTGGTGTTTTGTAAAAACTGCAATGTTTTCATTGCAACAACCGCTTGAGGCACTTCCCCTGTGAGAGCCAACTCCTTTCTCAATCAAACTTTGCTTATAAAGAGCATTTGATTGGTGCAATTTGATATGCATGCGCTGTAGACTATTAATGCTTCCAAATAGGAAATCATGGATTAACTGAGGTCATCAATCTTTATGATCAAAAAGGCAGAAAGGCGAGGGCTGGAAGGAAGAAGGAAATACATGTTTGTAATTCTAACGCCATACTGTCCCTTTAAATTTGAAATGAATTCTTAGCAATTCTTACTTTAGTGAATAGCTTTGACAGTGTGTATTTTTGTGCTCTTTTACGATGTGTGTTAGACATGTCAACTGTGGAAAAAATTGGTTTGTTTGAAAAAATTTTTGTTTTGGGTTTTGTCCGTATGG